GGCGCATATATCCAAGTGTTAAGATTCATTTGTTATTCTTGGCATGATGAAAAAGATTGCTCCAATGAGCCTATGTGTTTACCAGAGTATGCATCAATGATTGATTTCACCGTAGAACATCATATAACGAATATAATTTTATGTATGATTTTAGTTCTCTGGATCCTACGAGAATTTCTAATAATCATGAAATGCTCGTGGTGGAGTTAATCGTGCTTGAAAACTGTACAAGCATTAATTATCCCTAACATTCTCATCATCTGCTATAATGTTAACCTGAGTTAATATATATATTTCCTTCATGCATGGTGAAAATGAAGCTTCCTGTAATGTGTATGTCATGATTCGCGCTGACAAAACGTATATAGCTTATATATAGATCAGCTACTACAAAAATATACTGCATGCAGACCACATCAGGTTTATGTTACACAAAATTAATTAGATAGGAAAAAACGTGCCATTATACGATGCAAAAAATTTGATTAAAAAATTTGGGTAACATATTATGCACCAAAATTGCTACAATTTATTTATAAGCAGTTATTCATTTTAGATATAGTGGTTAGCGTTTTACTCAATTAAAGGGTCTGATATAAACACTTACATTTTCTAATAAAGCTTTGATTGTTTTTGTTTAGTTCATTTTTACAATTGTTTCTAAATGAATTATATATAGTACAGTGATTGTCGTAATATTCAATCAAAGGGCATAATATAAACACTCATACAGCTACATTTTGTAATAAAGCTCTGATTCGTTGGTTTTAGTTCATTATTTTACAACTATTTTATTTTCCATCTAAATACAAAATATAGTATAGTGCATGATTGTTGCATTACTCATTGAAAAGGAATAATATAAACTCTGAGATTTTGTTAGTAAGCTTTGATTGCATCACTATTTGCATGCCTTAATTATAGTTTTAATTCATTTTTAGAAATTATTCCTTTTTGCTCTCTTATAGTACAGGATATAGTGTAGTAATTGTTGTGTTGCTAAATTAAAGGGCGTAATATATAAACCCTTTCATTTGCGTTCGTTTTAGTTATTTTTTACAATTATTTCATTTCCTTTCTCAATTCAGTATGTGGTATATAGCTATTTTTGTACTATAAGGACATTTTCTCGACATAAACACTTACATTTCGTAATAAATATTTTATGGCCTTAATTGTCGGCATGAAATAATGATAAGAGAAGCATTACCTTTGTTTGAATACATATTGCATGTATAGTCCTTTGTAAAAGTCAGTCCATTCACTACCTACATTAGCTGCAATATATATAGCTAGTAAAGTTGAGATGTATAGAAAAAAGGGGAGATCGAGGGGTTCTTCCTGACAAAATTTTATTATTCTTGTAGCTTGACGACGCCATATCTGCCATTTTCCGGAACATTCAAAAAAACAATCCACCAAATATGATATTAGGGCATATCCATGCGTTAAGATTCATTTATTATATTTTGCATGATGAAAAAGATTGCTCCAATGAGTCTATCTGTGCTTACCAGAATATGCATGAATGATTAATTCCACCGCAGAACATCATATAACTAGAAATACATGCATGGAACAACCCCTCGCCTATATTTCCCAAACATTGTTAAAAAATGAAGTATTCGTAATTACGCCAACACTCAACGCAGGCACGCGTTGCCACGTCATGTTAGTCAAGGCAACAGGATAATTTTTTTAAATTTTTTGTACAAACCGGGGAAAAATAGATGAAATTTGAACACTTTTAAACACAGAAAGACCAATTTCTAAAATATACAAAGCATGCAGGTACAATATCACATACTCGAACCGACCAGACCGCGTAGCTCTGTTGGCAGAGCACTGGGCTAGTTTTCCAAAGGTCGTAGGTTCGATTCCCATCGTCGTCAGACATATTTTTCAAGCTTTCGCGGTGTGGATATACACTCAGAGTAACATCACAAGCATCATATTCACCTGAGTACATTACACCAACACAGAAAAATCATGGACTAGATTCTGTTCCGAAATATCACATACTTGAACCGACCAGACCGCGTAGCTCAGTTGGCAGAGCACTGGGCTAGTATTCCAAAGATCGTAGGTTCGATTCCCATCGTGGTCAGGCATATTTTTCAAGCTTGCCCGGTGTGGATATGCACTCAGAGTAACATCACAAGCATAATATCTTAGGATATCAATATCTTAGGACATCATACAGTATCTTAGGATATCAGTATCTTTGGATATCAATGTCTTAGGAAATCAATATCTTTGGATATCACGCAGTACCTCAGGATATTATACAGTATCTTAGGATGTCATACAGTATCTTAGGATATCATACAGTATTTTAGGATATCATACAGTATCTTACGACATCATACAATATCTTAGGAAATCATACAGTATCTTAGGATATCACACAGTATCTTAAGATATCAATATCTCGGATGATAAAAGCAGCCACGATGATGGATCGGATAGTGAAACGTCTCAAACAAGTGACAATATATATTAGAAGCATAACTTTATAAAACGTTTTGAAGAAATATATAAATGTATTTTAAAACTGAAATCTTGTGCACACTTTTGCCTGCAAACCCACGCGCCCGATTTCAAGGTAATAAATAATCCTTATCTATAATAAGCACTTAAGGGACTAAAATTTTGCTTGTAATCCGACATTAATGACTGTTAATGACTTCGGCGGTATACGTTTTAGAGAGCCACAAACGACAAAATTTCGATATATCTTGTATATAATCTGTAAGAACTCTCTGTTCCTTAGTATTTTTTCCTGTCTCAAGCTCGCTGGGTGAAATAAAAACATTTGCATATATCCACACGCGGTGGGCGGGTTAATCACTTTTTAATAACTCTGTGATATGCAAATAACGACCATAACTACGACGTTGACAACAATTTTAACTTGGGCTTAGCAACCCTTAATTTTTTTTGAAAATTTTCATACGTATGTCTGGATTTTATTCCTTGTGTAATAGTCCTAAACATGGTGAATACATCCCCAGGTAAAACCAAGGATGGTGTTAAAGTAGTGGACACTCTAAGATAATCTAATAAAACCTTGTAATACGATTAAATGAAATACACCTTGTATACTCTACTTACAATGTCGTTTATGATTTTGGCGAATTTTGAATATACTGGGATATTCTCTGCACAATTCCCCGCGGATTCTTTGTAAACTCCTATAAGTCAGGAATTTTCATAATACACAATTCTCACTGCGCATGCGTACAATATCTACGTCCTACAAGCATTACAACAACTTTAGCAGAATATATGCCGAGAAAGTGTTAAAATCCATTCCAGTTTGTTAGAAGGAATGTACGGAAGGGATAAATATTAGCAAAGTATTTTAAAAACTGTAAAAGTTTTCTTAAAATGCTAGTAATCATTGGTCCACACTCTTTAAATACATTACAAGCGCGTGTAATTGATACGAAATGATATCGTGATGACGTAATGGGCGTACCTCCACCCGCGCCATAACCCCTCTTCCCTATACTACTGACTTCAATGATTTGGATTCTTGCACTTCACTTCGTGGAATTAATATTAGAATGTCAGGGTTTGTAATCCAAGTGAGAATATATACATTTTAAGACCTAACCAGGAACGACTGCGAAAAATGGAGAACAAGGTCCTCTGGTAGGAATTGAACCTACGGCCCTGCGCTTCTGGTGCAGCGCTCTGACAAACTGAGGTACAGCGGCCAGCTGTTGAGCTGTAACCGTAAGTTCATGTATATATGGGTAATATGGTGTGCGGGTTGTGATAAGATGGACTTCAAAGATTTGGATTCTTCCACTTCACTTGGTGATTCTTTCACTTCACTTGAACGAAAACTACGACGATAGATCCAGATCCTAAGAGAGCAAAAGGGTAATTTCACGACCAGGAGATTGATGGAGAACACGTGCATTTGTAGAAAAGACGTTTCAGAGAGTACAATTTCACGTTTCCTAAAACAATAAAGAGGACTATTATTATCTACAAGCTCGGAAGAATGTGCAGATTTTTTGTTAAAATACAATCTCTTGCAAAAGAAAACGTGCCATCATGATTTTGTAAGCCTTATCCCCTACCATCCAATGTAGCGATTTGAAGTCGAAATTGACAAGGAAGGCCTGAAACGGTGCTAACAATCACTAACCAACATTGAGAAGGGTGCTGGAGCATGGAGTGTATGTCTCGTTTATTTTGCATAAGATTCTAGCTTTTGATTATACAAGTTATAATACTGTATCAGCAAATAATTATTGGTCTCTCTGAAATCCATATAGAAAGGTTCAAATTTGACTTCCACTACTGCTACAGTGCTACTGCTACCTATCACTGGCTAATTTGAAAATTTGCTGTAGTCACTTCAATTAAGGGTTGCACATGCACCGTTACTGTTGAGGTAAAGTTCTTAGGAAGAAGTGCATTAATTCTAGAAAACTGGTTTGGGCTAAGCAAAAATCATGACATCACACTTATTTGGTTGTTTATAACAGTTAAAGTCCAGGCTGCACGTATTTTGTCCTGCATGGGATAATTGTGTATATGTGGGGAATTAATAATAATCCTGGCTTAGACTGAGTGAAGTCTTCCCTGCTTTATTATGTGAAATTCCAATCAAGCTACACAGCAAGATCTCAGGGCTCTTCCTCTGAAACAATTCTTGGTTGTGATATATGTAGTATATTCAAATTATTTTGTAATATTCTATAGGCTATAGTTATGTAAATTAATCATTGTGTATTTAAGTAAACGAGTAATAGATTAAAGCACACTTTTATCTCGATATATTACATGGTGTCAGGTAGACTTTATAACGTTCAAAATGAATGAAATAAGAGGACCCGGTGAAATGGATTTCACCAGCCCACAAAATCTAGCAGAGACATGGAGACGCTGAAGACGTAGCATGGAGTATTACTTGATAGCGACATGCACCGGAAAAACCTAGCCACAGAAAGTCGCGATTTTCATGTGTATGATTGGTAAAGACGGGCAAGAATTAAAGACACGTTCGAATTTGAAACTCGTGAAAATGGACAACAAGTGATCACCACAGCAATCCATTTCGACAAATTTGAAGCGCATTGTAAACCCAAGAAGAATCTCGTTGTTGAACGGCATCGTTTCCTCACAAGAGATCAAAACACCGGCGAGTCGGTAGATCAGTATGTAACAGAACTAAAAACTTTAGCGGCGTCGTGCGAGTGGGGAGACTTAAAGGACGATCTTATATGTAGTCGAATTGTAAGCGGCATATCTTCGAGAGTTGTTCGAGAACGACTTTTGAAAGAGTCAGAGTTGAAATTGAACAAAGCTGTCGAGATTTGCAGAGCAGATGAGTTATCAAGACAACAAATGAAGTTGTTTGGCAGTGAAGCGAATCATGTAAATCAAGTAAAACGCGGGGGAGTGAACCGTGTTCAGAACAAAAGCAAGTCAGACAAAACACAAAAAGCAAAGAAAGCTACTGAAGGGAAACATGAACACAAGCGTAATGCCTGTGGTAATTGTGGTCTAATTCATCCAAAGGGACAATGTTTAGCTTATGGTAAACAATGTAATAAATGCAAAAAGATGAACCATTATGCAAGAATGTGCCGTTCAAGCAAAAGCGTAGACTTGTGTCGACAAGAGAAAAGTGACGAATATCTGTTTCTAGAGACGGTCAAAGTTGAATCTGTTGATCGAATTCGACAGTCTGAAACTGAACATGTAACACTGTCATTGAACAATCACGACATTCGATTAAAGCTGGATACGGGAGCTGAGGTAAACGTGATACCATACTCAACTTTCAAGCAAGTTGCGACAACTTCAAAGATAAAGCTTAGAAAGCCGAGGAGGAAATATCCTGGTTGAAGTTGTCTGCACGTTACAATGTCAATACAAAGGGACAATTCATAATTTGGAATTCTATATCACAAGCATCGAGAGTGAACCAGTTCTCAGTATTTCCGCATGCAAGAAACTTGGGCTTATAGAATTTGTCACCGTCATAGAGCATAAAGAAGAAGGAACCGA